ATCTATAAAAATATTTATTGTTCTTAATCTCACAAACATATCTAAGAATAAGATTAATTGATGAAATAGTAAGTATGATGATCAACTGGTAATGGAAAATTGGGTCGCATATATTGCTTACAAAAATTCGTTGATTTGATTGATGAGTTCCAAAAAAATAATTTTATGGTTCGAATGCTTAGTAAAAACAAGAAAGATAATTAGATTGAGTTTTATGAATTTACTTCATTTAATTTATGGGCCAATAAAAGATTTTTATCTTCCAAATCCATTGGAAGGGAGCATAGGAGGCTAAATGGAGGGAATTGGGGGGGGGGGGGGGGGGGGGGGAAGTAACAACTTGTACACTCATAAAAGAGTATGGAATTCCTATGGTAAAGCTAAATAAGCATCATGTCATGTTGGCTAGCTATCCACTAATTTAATGACAAAAATGTCCTTCATGGAAGAGGAAGTGAATTTTCCCACTAGATTGATAGCATACCCACACCATAAAACCCATCAATGACACCCTTTTTATGTGCTTTCTACCTTTTATCTTGTTGCCAACTTATTGCTCAAAAAAAAGAAGTCCACCTCAGATTATAGTTCACAATGATTTTCTATGTTTTCGTTGACAACTATGTGGTGCGTAGTTAGGTTATGATTCGAATCGATTTTTTAAGAGTCTTTGTGATTTCTTGCCGTTTAAGGTCCACTAGTGAGTTCTCGGGCTACTATGGTCCCCTCGAACCTTTTTTTTTGGCCTTGTGTTTAAGTAGTATTTAGTCGAATTCATAGCATGTGTTAGTTATATTTGTGTTGACTAATTTATTAAATGGCTCTGTTGGATAAATTCATTTATGATATTAAAAATGACTAAAAATTTATCTAATATTACAATTTGTAATTTGAATTTTACATTTATAAAATGGTAACAACGGTTAAAATTGATCCAATCTTCATCCAATTTTATTTAACAGTACAAAATTCATCTGAAAAAAAAATTCAAAAATAATATCTTCTCTGCATAGTCCCCAATGTCACAAATGTATTAACACACTCCTCAATGCCAAAAAAACCTCACTAATCTACCGTTATTTCTCTCTTATTTTCTTTTTGTCCACTATAATTTTAAATTAAGCAATTAAAGAAAGAAAAAATATATAAATTGTTGTTTAAAATATAAATATTATAAGATTAATACTCAATTTTTAATATTACACAATATCTTTAGACACGAGATTATTACTAAGAATTCAAACTTAGTTGATTTCACATCCATTTCGTACTTGATTTACTGGGTCGTTAATACGATTTGCAGACTTATTGGTGGGTGTGATTTTATCTGGGTCAGCCCAATCCAACATGTTGCTTTTGTTTGAAGGCTGGGCCACCTGTATTCGCATAACATTGTAGCCCAATTATCCTTGGGCTTGAGCCCTTGCGCTTCTCATTAGGCTTTTTTATTTGTGAAAATTGGAAGTGAAACCCTTAAATGTATTTGTTTAGAAATAAGTATTACAAGAAAACTTATAATAGATTAAGTTCATGTTTAAAATTATATGTAATGACTTAAGTTCACTTTTTTTTTTATCTCAAAAATACTTTTCATTGAAAGGAGGTTAAATTAATTTCATATTTTTGATATAATTATCCCTTAATTTAATGTCGATTAAAATATGTCAATAAAATCTCTATCATAAATTCAAAATTCAAATTTAAAGCTCTCTCTCTCTCTCACCACCTAGTGACATTGTTTCATCAATGTTCATCTTTTAATTTTCTATGAATTATATTAAATTTGGGGGTAACGGATGAGAATCTTTGGTCCTTGTTAATTTTTTTGTTTATTTTTAATTTGTAGTATTTTTCGTGAGGGTTAATTTGTTAAATTGAATGTTTCATGTTATTATTTTTTTTATTATGTTACTGTTCATGTTATTATTATTTTGAGCATGTTACTACTATTATTTTCCTAAATATTAATATTCAATGTTACTATTTTTTTTTGTTTTTAAATATTACTATTTTTTGTGTTTGAATGATATTATTTTTTGAGTTTGAATTTGAGAAAAATAATTATTATTAAGTATGTTACAGTTTTTGTTAAGCTTGTTACAATTTTTGTTAAACATGTTACTATTGTTATTTTTTAAAATATTAATATTGAATGTTTCAATTTTTTTTATTTTTAAATGTACTATTTTTTGTGTCCAAATGATAACTTTATTTTTGTATTTGAATGTTACTATTTTTTATTTTTAACGTTACTCTCTATATATATACCTAACCTATATATAGATATAAATAGATATGAGAGAGAGATAATTTTAATGTTAGTCAAACTCTTAACCTATATATGAATATAGATAGATATGAGAAAGAAAAAATTTAATGTTAGTCAAACTACTAAGATTTAGGAGTTTTAATTTTTAGTTTTATTTCACTTCTAAAAGGAAAAGGATAGGATGGTAAAATTAACAAAAAATGGACTTCATAACAAATAAATTTTCTTGACGGACTTAAGTCCAAACAAGTCCAGATGGGGGGACCGGTCTTCAAATTTCCCTATTTATTTTCATTCTTTTGAAATCGGGCTCTCGATATGACTTATGTGAGAAAAAGTTCAATTAAAAAAATGGGTTTTTTGGGTATAGATATAATTTTTTGGACTTATTTTGAGTAAAAGTCTATGGATAAATTGTTTACTCTATTAAGTACAATTTTTATAAAATTTTTTGTATTTAGGTACAAAATTCAAATGAATTAAAAACTTTTTTACCTAAACACATTCCCTTAAATTATGCAATCATCATTGACAGTTATTTGAAGAAACAAATATGTAAAAATTAACAATAGTAATGAGAGATAAAATAGGGGCATTAATGTTCAAAACCCTTCTTCTTCGACAACAGGATTTTATGGCAATGAAATTTGATTAAAATGCCACAAATTATATGTAAATAAACACTAAATTTTTCTCTCAAAAAAAGAGAATTGACCAAAATATTTTGTTACATATTATGTATTTTTTGTTGTTGGGATGTAGGAAAAAAAGAACTTCTTTATTTTGTTTAATGGGTGTAACTATTTTTTAATAGGTGTAACTATTTTTTTAATTGGTGTAACTGTTTTTAATGAGTGTAACTATTTTTTCAATTGGTGTAACTATTTTTTAATAGGCGTAACTATTTTTTTAATATGTGTAATTATTTTTTTAATGGATGTAACTATTTTTTAATAGGTGTAACGATTTTTTTTAATGAGTATAACAATTACAGTCTCATGCAATTGTTAAAGTATGATGGTGTAACAATGTCACAATACTAAATGGTGCAACTATTTAGTTTTATGTAAATAAATGAATGACAAATTGAGTTGGTGTCAGAATTTTGTATAATTATTTTGTGTAACTGTGTGGTTTATTAAAACGCATGAGTAACTGTTTGATGTATTATAGGACATTTGTAACTGATTGGTGTAACTGATTAGTGTAATTGTGTTGTTGTAATATTAATATAAATAGAATAAGAGAAAATACACACACAGAGAGAAACGGTTAGAGAAAATATGTCCCTATTTTACCTCTCATTACTTGATTGTAGCTAAAATATAATAAGAAATATAAAGAGTTTCAACCCATCACCTATTTACTGAATGACAATATTACCATTTTTTAAAATATATGCACTTTAGCTTAAATAAGTTTTTGTGTTATATTTTTGCTTAAATAAATCTAAAAAATTGTATTGGCTTGCAAATCACCCTAAAAAATATTTGGGATATAAATCCACTTTGAGGCAAAATAGTGGTAGTACCCTCAAGCACAATTATAGATCCTTCAAAACTGATTAAGAAAATTATAACATTACAGCCCTTGCCCCTGCCCTGCCCCTGCCCCTCCCCGTCCACTGCCATCCCTATCTATCATATTGTGTAAAAGAGAAATTTGAAAAAGAATTTAGTTCGGATAAATGTCTGGAACACAAAACACTAAATAAAATACAATTGTACAAGGCAATAACAAACATTTTTTTTTTTTTGAAAAAAATATGGAATAGAGAAGATAATGGAAATTACATATTTTATCATAAAATTCTGGAATTTTGAAAAGCTCTAAACGTTTTTTTGAAAAAAAAATTGAATTTTTGAATAAAACAAAATCTCGGAATAACTAGAATACAAACCACCAAAAAAATCCAGTTGTTACATAAGAAAAACTCCAAAAACTTGCGCTAAGAAGGCTATAATGGCGAAGAAGACAAACTATCAGTTCAAAAGGATAATGTCAAATGAGTTGAAATCAATTTTTTAAAATTTAGACGATTGAATATATATGACAATAACACTACAATTTTTTTTTCCAAATATTTTCATATTTTAAACAAAATACCAATCAATTATGCATAAATTAAGATAGAAATAATTAAATAATATTTGACGAGCTGACCTAGACCATATCCAGATTAGAGATGCACTCAAGCCCATATTGCAGATACAGACTAATCTCAAATTACGGATATGGACTAGGGCTAGATTACAAATGTAGAACAACAAAAATCTAGTCATAATTAATTCGTGGCCAAGCCCATTTTCCTTAGACGCCTGGTTCACCATCAGCGGACGTGGGAGTCTCCATCAAAGGAGAAGAAATCATGGACACATAATCATTAAGGATGCATCGCCAATTCACAAGATTATCTCATCTATTACAAAATAATGTAAGCTTCAAGGGATCCATCTTTATCACGTCACCCTTTACAAGGATGAGGGGAGAGACTCATGACATTACCTTATTCCTTGTGAGAATAACGCCTTAATCAGAGTGTTTCGGAGTCAACCCCTCTTATCTATAAATTGTAAATCTCATACACTTGTTGTCATTTTAAGGCAGATATTAAGGAACGGAGGTGGGAGGGAGGATTTTACTTAGAGGACTTACTTGACTGTTCGGCCAATTTTCTGCAATTATTGCCATTACTACTCTGACTCTAGACGGCAGGTGCAATAACGACGATATGATCGAGATAACCACCATCGGAGTGGTGGGTGGCGGCCAAATGGGCTCCGGAATAGCCCAAGTCGCCGCCGTGCACGGCTTAGACGTTTGGCTTCACGACACCGACGCCGATGCTCTCACCAGAGCCCAAAAATCAATATCCACTAATATTCAGCGGCTCGTCTCCAAACGTCAACTCTCTCAGGTCCAGTAAAGTCTCTTCCCTTCACCCTCTCCGTCTCTCTCCCTCGTTGTATGTTCGTTCTGTTTGGTTTCTGAGAAAGTGCAGGATAAGAAAAAGGAAAATAAAGTTGGAAGCGTTGTTCTAATTTCCAAGAAAACTTGAACAGTAGCTTGGCTAAGCCTTATGCAGTTAATTAACAGAATTTAGTATGTGCTTCTTTTCTATTTCTTTATTTTGTTATCTCTATATTCTTGGAAATCAATTGGAGCTTAACTGTATTACTGATTTACAATCTAATTACTGAAAATTTAGAGATGAGTATCAGTTGATGTGTTGTGTAATTCAGCTGATTTTTTGGTATTCAATTTGTTTTAGTTTTCATTTTCTTGATTTATTTTGATATGTTCAAACATATTGGCTGAACTTGAACTGGATATGAGGATTTTATGATTGGCTTCAATTTTCAAATTATGATGGCAAAATTAGTTCTTTATTTGAACTGTACAAGTGGATATAAATTATTCATTGGTGAGGGTTTGTTTGGTTACCAGTTGAAATTTTCTAAATTCTCGGAAGGTAATTGTTTCTAAATTCAACTATGGGAGTTGTGATCATGTTTGTAATTGGTAATTAGCAGGCAGTAGGAGCTGATGCTCTGGGGCATCTACGATATACCTCGAATTTGGAAGATCTTTGTGCTGCGGATCTTGTTATTGAAGCCATTGTGGAAATAGAGGATGTGAAGAAGAAGTTATTTGCTGAACTAGATAGGATTATAAAAGGTTCTGCGATTTTGGCATCTAATACAAGTTCCATCTCTATTACCCGCTTAGCGTCTGCAACAAGCAGACCACATCAGGTTTCTTTTAGAATACTCGAGAGAAACATTAATTCTTGTGCTATTAAAGTTGTTCGCTTTGCTGATTCAATGTTTGCTATTTTTAGGTTTTTGCATAAAAAAGATTAAGTAGGATATAAAATGGAAGTTTCAAACCTAATCACAGAAGTTCATTCTTTACTTTCTTTAATGCTATAGTATAAGATGAAGTTTTATACCGTGGATCTCAATTAGCTATTTTTGACAGCACAATTTCTTCAGTAGAGTTGCTGATGTTACATATTGAATGTACTCTTATTCCTGCAATATGAAATGTGGACGTTTACGTGATTTGTTATACCTATTTCCCCAGTTTTTTAGTCTTCTGCCCTTACTAATACAGGAAAAACCAAAAAAAAAAAAAAAAGAATACCAAGATGGATGGATGTCATCATTTAGGTGGGACTTCAATACCTGCCTCACTGATGCATCTAATGTGTTAGAATTGATCAACCGAGATAAGAAAAAGAGAGTAGCAAAGAGAATGAGAGAAATTATTATTAGACTTAAAACAAGTCTGTTATTCTCATTAATATAGAAGTACACAAAATAAGGCTTATATAGTAGGGCAACACAATATAAAAAAAATGCATAAACAGCCCTTAGTATTAAACTCTAATATTCCCACTCAAACTTATGATGTTGCGGAAAACATCAAGAGTTTGCCAAGTAGAAATAAAAAACGTGTTATGGTGTGAGATTTCGTAAAGAAATCCTTTATCCGGATGGTGGAAGGAAGAAATGGGAGAGTGATGGTGTCCTGCTGAAGATAATGACGCACAAAATGACAATCAATCTCAATGTGCTTTGTGCGTTCATTGAAGATCTAGTTGTGAGCAATCTGAATAGCACTAATGTTGTCGCAGAATATAGGAGTAGGAGAAGGTATCGAAATGCCAAGATCAACAAGAAGCCATTGTTACCAGACTATCTGTGTTACATGCCATAGCACGATACTTGACCTCAGCAGAAGAGCGAGCAACAACAGTTTGTTTCTTGCATTTCTGGAAAATAAGAGAATCTCTAAGAAAAAGATAAAAACCAGTGGTGGACTTGCGATCCATAAAATCACCAACCTAATCAACATCGGAGTAAGCCTCGAGTTCTATAAATGAGGAGTGAGAAAATAATAAACTTTGATGTAGAGTACCACAGAGATATTGAAAAATACGAAGAACAACAGTCCAGTGAAAATTAATCAGTGACGCGACAAACTGACTCACAATATGAACAACATAAAAGATATTCGGACGAGTGATTGTAAGATATATTAAACTCACAGCAATAGTGCAATAGAGATTAGGGTCAAACAAAGAAATACCATCAGAAGAAGAGTAATAAACATTGAGCTCTAATGGTGTTTCAACTGCCTCATTATCTGATAAATAGGCTCGTTGAATAACATCCAAGGTATACTTGGACTGAAAGAGAATATAAACTTTAGGAGAGGAAACAATCTCAATGCCTAAGAAATAACTAAGTTACTCCAAATCCTTCATCTTAAAATAATCCTGCAGTTGGATTTTCAATAAGCATATACCAGCAGTATCATCATCCGTAATAATCATATCATCAACATATAATAAAAGAATAATAAAATCGGAGGAAGTAGACCGTAAAAAAGAGAGCAGAATCATGGTCACTGGCGTGAAAATCCAAGTCACAAATAACTGAAAAAAATTTGGTAAACTATGTCCTGAGAGTCTGTTTAAGGCCATATAAAGATCGGTGAAGTTGACATACTTGAGCAAGACTATGAGACAAGCTAGGATGAGTCATAATTATCTCTTCACTTAAATCTCCATGAAGAAAGACATTTTTCACATTCATCTGAGACAAACTCCATTGCCGAATGGTAACAATTGCAATCCTGGTGCGAACAGTGGTCATCTTCACAACAGGAGCAAAAGTTTCATCATAGTCTAGACCATACTCCTGAGTGAAATCTTTGACTATTAATTGACCTTTATACCGTTTCACAGAATCATCAGACTTGATTTTGATCTTATAAACCCACTTACAACCAATTGTGTGTTTACTAGGTGGTAAAGGCTCTAACTCCCAAGCTCTAGTCTTATGTAAAACAGACAACTCATCATTCATAGCCCGTTTCTAAAGTGGATCAGGTAAAGCCTCTTTGTAGAAGGTAAGTTCAGATAGGGAGTGAATAGAAGTAAGAAAAGAACAAAAGGCAGAAGAATAACAAGTGTTACTCTAACTAAACCTGTCTGGACATTTGCGAGATCGCTGAGGATAGCGTAAGGTATGACCTACAGTGTTTGAACCTGATTAGGTGGTAAGAGGAGAAGGGAAAGACACGGCATCTGTAGAGGAGATAGTTGGAGTTCTGCGAACATATTTATACACAATAGGGGGATGAGGGACAGTCAACTTAGTGGGGGAAGAATCTGACACAGTAAATCACCAGCATATGTATCATGAGGTACATCAACAGAAAATGGATCAATGTATAGCAGATTAGATTTATTCAATGGGGAACAACTAGATGGAATTGAAAAGAATGGAATATACTCCATAAAAACATGGCAAGAGACATAAAATTTGTGGGTAACAGGATCATCGCAACGATACCTTTTTTGACTTTCACCATATAAAGATGAATGAGAAGAAAGTTTTGTACGAAGTACACTAGGGAGCAAAACAAAGCAAGTACAACCAAAAACAAGTAAAGAAAAATAGCTAGGCGGTTTACCATTCAATTTTTCAAATAGGGAGATGTCTGAAGTGAGAATAGTAGGAATGCAGTTGATCAAATGAACTGTTGTAAGAATTGCTTCCTCCCAAAATGAATTAGGAACATGTGCTGATAATAAAAAGGAGTAGGTTATCTCAAGAATATGTCAGTGTTTATGTTCGGCAACACCATTCTGCTCAGGTGTGTCAGTGCAAGAGGATTGATATAGTGTACATCATTTCAATAGATCATGGAAAGAAATGAGATTGTATTCATCTCCCTGATCACATCGAAAACATTTAATGACAGCGGAGTATTGAGTGTTGACCATATTACAAAAAGTAGTGAAGATTAAAAAGAATTTAGGTCGACGTTTCATCAAATATACCTAACAGTACTTCATCTAATCATCAATAAAGGAAACACAATATCTGAACCCTCCTTGTGTAGGAACAGGAACAGGTCCTTATATATTAGAATGAACAAGATCAAACGGTGCAAGAGAACAAGTAACAATTTTATTGTAAGGTAATGCACTAAACTTAGCCAATTTGCATCTACTACAATCAGGAATGTCATGGCTTTCTAAACTACCTAAACTACTAGTAAAAGCTAAATATTTTAAACGAGAATGAAAAACATGACCAAGATGAGAATGCTATAAATAAAAATTAGATGATTTTGGACTCTAACAAAAATAAGATAAATCAATAGTAGAAGCAGCAACATTGGGGATATAAAGCTCCTTCAACACATATAGCCCTCCCTTTTTATGACCTGTCCCATCCCAATCAGCTTCTTGGATTGTGGATCCTGCATAATACAGTTAGAGGAAGAGAAATGAACTAAAAATTCAAAGTCAAATAGTTGATTGATTGAAATTAAATTAAAAGTAAGTTGAAGAATGTAATAGACATCTAAAAGTATAAGGTTAGAAGAAATAATTGTCCCAACACTAGCTAATGACATTTGAGAGCCATTAGCGGTAAATACAGATACAGATGGTGGAGAAATAATAGATACAAATAAAGAAGAATCACTGATCATATAATGTGTGACACTTGAGTCAAAGACCTAGACAGTTCGATATATACCTGAAAGACTTGAACTGAATGAACCTATAGTGGGAGAAACTATGATAGCACCGGACTGATAGAGAAAGAAACTTCTGTAGCTGATTTGCAAACATAGTCAGGCTGGGAGTTGATGAGGCAGACTCATCGACCGGTGATGCAACAGTTGCTATGTGACGATCTCTGGAGATAAACGGTTGATTTTAAGACCCCCGTGCATTCCTGTTCACCAACTTAGGACATTGAGCATTCCAGTGACCCTTTTCATGACAAAAACTAAACTCATTAAAAGTAGCTCAATCTTGATACTTATTTTGGGAATTAGATGTCACTTTGGAAGCAGCAGACAATACGGTCTGATTTGGCAACGAAAGAAGACCCTTTCTAAAAAGGGTTTTAGGGTGAACCTTTTCAGTTAAGAGCTCATTGACAATTACATTTACTGAGGGGAGCGGCTGACGATGAAGAATGGAATCACGAAGTCCCTCAAAGTCGTCTCTAAGTGCTATCAAAAATTGTACCAGCCTTTACTTCTCTCTAAAAGTGCGATATGTCGGATTAGTGCTCAACTCAGTGGGTTTAGTAAGTGCTAGCTAATCGCAAAATTCAGTCATAATTGAGTAGAATTCTTATATGTCTTTGTCCCCTTGATGCGCATCTCCAATCTCAAACTCTAGTTGGTATCTCTTTGCAAAATTAGATTGGACAAAGAGTGTAGCCAAAAAATCCCAAATTTCCTTGGCTGTGCTAAACTTGGCTAGATGAATCTTAGTAGTTTGATATAGTTTGATCAACTGAGTTATTAATCTAAGTAATAATTTTTGCATTGTTGATATTCCAAGCATGGTGCTAAATAACGGTAACGGTCGTCGTAACGGTAACGGTGTAATGGACGTGGGGTGAAACGGACGTTACGTAACAGTAATGGAAACCGAAGACGTGAATTTTTTTTTTCAATTCACACTCCCCTTAAAATATAATTGTTTATGTATTTCAGCTATAAAATGATGCAAATATAAGTTTTTAGTGATTTTGTTACACCATTTAAGCATGATATTGAATTTTTTAAAGAAATTTTCTTTTATTTATAATCATTAATATGTGAAAACGCTCATACATTATAATATTTACTAAGTGATAATGTTACTACAATTACATTAATTCTAACTACATTACACCAAAATTTTTTTTAAAAAAATAAACTATAATGCTAGCTTTTTAAAAATATCATCACATTTTCTCTTAATTTATTGTGACAAAAATTTATCTCTCACTAAATTAGAATTTAACATATCATCAAGCAGTATTTGGATCAAAAAAAAAAATCAAGCAGTATAATATAACTCGGTTTATTCATTGGCCAAATAAGATATGCTTAGCTACTAAGCAATAGTGATGGACAGCTCTGAAGTGATCAATGCCTTTCCATTTTCCAAGAACCTCCTTGTCTCCTCTGCCCACTTCAAACCAGTTCCTTCCCCTATTCAGTCATCTCCTTCCTAAACTCTCTCTCTCTCTCTCTTCCTCTCTAATGGCTTCTTGACAAGATGAAATCTTATGAAATTCCCGTATTTTTTCTTCTCCCCAAACCCTCTTCTAGAAAACCTTCGTACTAATACTCGGCTCCAAACATCCAACAACGGCATAGCTACCTCTGTGATGAAATCAGAGAACGACGGGCTCTCCAAAGGCGATTTCGTGGTCCTCTTCAAGCATAACAATCCTTCTAGGACAGTGTTTCTCTTGTGGTCGTCGTCCGTGAAGCTGAGCAACTGAATTTAAAGAGGGAATCTGACAGGTACTGTAATCTAAATTCACATGAGTCTTTGGGTTGTAACGGAATGAAACGGTTCAATTTGACCCAGATCGGCCGTTACGGGCGTTACAAGTGTGAAAAATATTCTGGCCTCAAAATCGGGATGTAACGGGATCACTGTCTGTCGTTACCGTTACGTAACGGCCGTTACGCACAGTAACGACCGATTTTCAAAACTATGATTCCAAGTGCTTTTCAAGTCAACATATTTTTTTGCCTTAGTATCAATTGGAGCTTGGGCAACACCACTAATATAATTCCACATGTTCTTCACCAACAAATTTTTTTTTTCATAACATAAGCCCAATAAATATAATTGTCACTAGTTAATCTCACACTAATGGCTTGAAGCGAATCAGAATTTTCACTTGGCATGGGTCAATAAAGGAGTTGTACTAACAATTATCTAAGATATTCTCCAACAAATCCCAGACGTAGAGAAAAAAAAAACTCAAATCTTATAACCAAAACAATCTCAGTAGGCAGTCAAATGAACTAGTCATCTCACTAACAATAAAAAATACCTCAAACTCATCCCATAATACTACCAAGCAATAACTCCATGAAACACCCACAAACAAGCAGAAGAAAACTATGAAGCAGAAGGAACCCAGAAAACTGTCACTGCTGAAGGAACCCAGAACCGCGAAGGAACCACTATTGTTGAAGCCAGAAACAAGAGCGAAAAAAAGACTGTCGTCGAAGGAACCAAGAACCACTACTGTAGAAGCCAGAAACAAGAGCAAGAAAAAAAAATCATTGTTGATCCCCTCTGTTGGCCAAAACTCCTCCAAAGACTTCGGGTCCCTCAAGAGATGATGAAGAAGACTTAGTCACACCTCAGACGATTCGAAAAATTCGGCATATTTTCCGAAAAATATTCAAAAAATAGAAACACTTACCGGATGAGGTCAAAATAAAAAATGAAGCACTCTAATGGAAAGCCCATGCAAAATCAAGTCGAATGGTGGTCTTCCCAATCTGAAACTGGGGACGTCAGCATGACGTCATCTCCGATGATGCTAACATCAATTACTGACAGCTAAATAAAAAAAAAACTTGTCTTTTTCCTTCTCCTTTTGTGTTTTTTTTTTTATTTTATATTTTGGATCACAATTGCTTTGATACCATGTTAGAATTGATCAATCAAGATATGAAAAAGAGAGTAGAGAAAAGAATGAGAGAAAATATTATTAGATTTAAAACAAGTCTGTAATTCTCATTAACCTAGAAGTACACAAAGTAAGCCTTATATGGTAGGGAAACACAATATAAGGAAAATGCCTAAACTACACTTAGTATTATACTCTAACATAATGTACCTCTTCAGAAGAACTTGAGTACATATTTGAATATTATATTATTTGACCTCTGCTAGGATCTTGATCCTGCAAGCACTACCGTGCAATAGGTGGAGGTCATTATGACAATTACTTAGGCCCAGATATTAAAAATACATTCCTAAGAGAAGCTTTGGCTGACTTGTCTTAATAAGTACGAGGATGTTGTGCACAAGTGAACTAGGATTTTCACTGTTTATAGATCTCGGACCACCTTTGTAGTGCTAAGATTGCATTGCTTTGTGATTAACATAATAGAACAACATCATCAATCCCAAATTCAAGGAGAATCTCAAGGTACTGAATGAGATGCCTATTCTTTTCCTTTCTCATCTTTCATTGCTATATTTGAAGGAAGCTGGTCTCCTCTCAACAGTTTTCCATTGGTTATTCAATGGTTTACTTTCATATGTTTTCTTGTTCTAAGCTCTATTATTTTCTGCTGCCTACACTCATGTACCGTGTAACCTATGAAATTTATGAAAAAAACAATTAAGGAAGAAAAGATAGCTACTCCTTGGTGATGCATAAGATCATGCCATATGATCATTGTTGAAATGGTCAGACATCAAATTTTAAGGAAGATACCTGGTGCTCTGCTTGTGAATGACTGTTATGTTACATGTGCAAATGCCATATCGCCAGATAATGTCTCCAATTTATTTTAGTTTCTTCACTGATTTAGATTTATTAACGGCTTTATAGAGATGATCTTCTATTCATCTCCTCATCGGCACCAATTCTGATGGTTTGGACTGATGATCAAGTAAAAGGATATTCTATCTTTTGCAGGTAATTGGCATGCATTTTATGAATCCTCCTCCTATAATGAAACTTGTTGAGCTTATTAGAGGTGCAGATACATCAGATGATACGCTTAATGTGACAAAATCCTTGGCAGAGAGGTAGGTGATTGACTACAATACTTCGTCTTGAAAATAAATAAATTTCTTTTCACAAGCATTTTTGTAGCTACACTGTTGGCATATTGTGAAGACATCCTTTGTCATTTTTCAAATAATATATGTTTTGGCTTCATTACTTGTCAAAATTTCGAGATTGTACTCATTTTTTCTGTTCACTTTTTATCCTCCTCCTGTATATACCTGTGAATATCTCAACATCAAATATCCCAATTTATTGGATGGTGACCACTGGACTTGCAGGTTTGGCAAGACAGTTATTTGCTCTCAGGATTATGCTGGCTTCATTGTAAACCGAATCCTTATGCCAATGATAAATGAAGCATTTCATGCGCTATATACTGGCGTGGCTACAAAAGAAGACATCGATACAGGCATGAAGCTAGGAACAAACCACCCCATGGGTCCTCTACAGCTTGCAGATTTCATTGGATTGGATATTTGCTTGTCGATAATGAAAGTTCTTCATGCTGGTCTAGGGGACAGTAAATACGTGCCATGCCCTCTTCTTGTGCAGTATGTTGATGCTGGTCGCCTTGGTAGAAAACGAGGTATTGGTGTGTACAATTACCATCAACCTCGACTTTGAACTGTTAGCAGCATGAGAATAATGATAGTCTCAAAAAATAAAATGCCTTTGTTCATATTATCGATGGTTCGTATTAAAGAAATTGTGCCACAAATCCTGCAACCGAGAAGCACATCATGGCATTTTTTGTCTCATTGCACGTTAAGTTGGTATCCATGGTTGTGAGGTAAGATATTAGAAATGGAATCTGTAATTTTAGGGGATGTATGTTGCATCCCATATACTCCAAGGTTCACATATTAATGTTATTTGGATCTAAAAATTTGATTTCATTTGTTGACTTGATTCATAATGATTTTTGAATTGACTGTAATCATATCAAACATTGAAATTTACTCTTTATCTAATGAAGTTACATCAGTTGTGATGAGGCCAAATCTAATTGGGTCCGAACCCAATTCATGGAGTAAGTCTAAATTAGTTACAAAACAGGTCAAGTCCAGCTCATGGATTTGACCCAGTCCAAAAGTTCAGTCTAAAGTTCAAGGAGTCTAGGAAGGTCGGCGCACGTGGGGAGTAATTATTATAATACAATTCTTGAAGATCAAGATTATTTCTAATTGTACCTATCTTAAGTGTAGTTATCCTCTTCGAAAATTTAGCAACATACCTTTTGCGCCATTGTCTCAACTAAGACTCGGTGCATATAAATTGTAAACTTTTGTTCACATGAAAGGCATCTCTCTACACACCCATTACACACCAACCCAACCTCTCATAGAGCTTATCATTGTTCTTTCTTCCACCATTTATTTTATTAATAAAGATCTCCGGCCACCGTAATCACCTTTGAAGTGGAGTAGGTCATCTTGATCGAATCACTATACATTTGTGTGTTGACCTAATTTTTGTCTCCTTTCTTAATTATTTTATTGATTGTTTCATTAATTAATCAACATCATACACTCGATTGTTGATTGTGCATAAGCCTATTTTGTGCATCATCAAGTAGGTCAATTAAGAAGGTCAAATTTTTAGAACCAAATAACATTACTCGTTCTATAAATTTAAATAAGAGGCTCTGATATGTGAGAGTTATATTATAGAATAAATTACACAAATGACCTTCAAACTATGACACTTTTATCAATTAAGACCCTAATTTTTTTTTTGTGTCAATTAAGTTTCTGAACTTTTTAGATTTGTCAATTGAGCCATTTTGTTTGCTTGCGTTAGAGTGTGCCACTTACGTGACCATTTGACACAAAAAGACAAAAAGACTCAATTTATACAATTAAAGAGTTCAAGGGCTCAATTGACCTTCCCTCCCTCCCCCCCCAAAAAAAGTTGAGAGCTTAATTGACATAAGAATAATAGTTTGAGGACTATATGTGTAGTTTACTCTAACTCATTTGTGTCCACATTGTCACTTTCAGTTAGAAAATTTAATGAAGGTAAATAGAAGTGCTTAATTGACACAATTAAAGAGTTCAAAAGTTCAATTAACATAACAAAAATAAAATTCGAGTCTAATTAACACAAGGGTCGTATGTCTAATTTATTCTATATTATATGTTAAAGGCAACCACAAAAGCTGATAAGAATTTTATGAAAAAGGAATACTCAAAGCTTTTACCAAATTTTCTAAGTGAACAAAATTGTTAGATGATTCAAAATTACCAAATATGATATGAACTTAAGAATGACATAATTTCTTAACATAAATAATAAATGGGTTGGGTAGTATTAAATGATAATTTTGACACGATGAAGTTCTTTAATTAGCATTGTAAAAAGAAAATGTTTAGTTTTATTTCTTGATTTACTATTCTTGAGTTGTTTATAAATCTAAATAAATTTTTTTGTTATTATTAAGTAGTGGATTAAGTATATTTTATTTTATGAGAATCTATGTGGTCATTGTGGTAATTTTGGATGAAAGATAATTGGACCAATGTTGATTTGAATACCACAAAAATATGACACATTCAAACACAACACCAACGTAGACATAACAAGTCACGACCGGATTTACATTCATATCACATCTACATGGACTTCTAGTTAAGCAGTATTTTCCAATTGCCACATCTATCATTCAAATTGGCGATTTTCTCTACGGCCATCAAAAGTTATGTCCACTTTGGTTTTTTGAATAATAAATCCTATGACATTTGTGGCACTACTGATCAAACTTTCAAGCGGCTGTTGTATATTTTTACCCATTGGTAAGCTCTGTTCTTCATTGCTTGCCAGCCCAGCAATCGTTTTCAAGTGAGTGAGACAAAGAAATCAAAAGGAATCCCTTATTTTCAACGTAAGTGGGTAAGCATGGACCCACTCTCTCTATGAGGGGTACCCTGAATTAATTTCTGTCATCATTAGGTTTGTTATGATTCTTCTCGTGACATGTTCTTGACTTGTATAACATTATTGAGTAAAATCTTTTCAACTCATATACAACTTATTCACAATTGTGTTGTGTATACTCGATTTCATGTGGACTCATTTATTTAATGAATTTGATGGGTTTATCTGTTTATTATCCTAATTTGTTAAGACTAAACTTCAATTCGTTAATCATGTTTAATTGATTTCATGTCGGATTCATGTCGAAAATTATGAAGGCTAATCTGAACCCCACCACTATTGCCTACCCCATGCTGCCTTTTCTAAAAGCTGGCATTTTTCTAAAGTGACAGTGACTGAAATGGAATCCCACGAAGAACAAATGTATAATTGAAAAAGGCACTGGATTGAAAAGGTGGGAAGAAAAACAGCCAAGCTATTCTATATATGCTGGTTTATCTGAAATCTGAACATTTTTGAGATCTGGTGAACGTAAAACAATGAAGTTCTTGTTCCAGTGTCCCTGTTGTTCCTGTTTCTGCTTCCTGAAGCCCAAGAAGGGCAAACCAAAGGAGAAGGAAGTCAAGGGAAGCTGACAAACAACTCATCAGGCAGTGGCAGAACAATCCTCTGGTTAATAAGTATATTTCTTTGTCTTTTTTTCTCATATTATCCTATCTGCAATGTGGGATTTATGAACAATTACTGGTTCCTTCATCTTCCAAGTTCATATTAAATGTGATCTTGAGACCCTTGAACAGATTAATGTCCGTAATTGTAAAACCTTTGATATGGGGAATAAATGTCAGATGATCTTCTGTCAAGTGTTTTCTGTATTCATTTCCTGAAATTGTTGTTTGATGGCTAAAAGATCCATTTGTTTTCTACTGATATTTGCAAGAAAACTCTACTAAATCCAGAGGGGAGTATTTGTGGTATTGTTTTAAGAGCAAATTACACCAAGTCTTCATGTAATTTGGGCTCCTAAAACTTTACTTCCCTATAATTTGAAACTCCATCTGTTGCATCCTACCAGTTTCGGTTGAAAATATTACTGCCACAATTTTTATTCAAATTCACCATCAAAAGGACAAACATCAAAATTTTCAATAAAATCACAAATTAAGATTATTTTTATAAGCATGTCTATATTATCCTTTCCTTTTTTGATGAAAAAGAAAATCGCTTTCTTTTAGCTTTCTTAAACCCAAATTTAATTTTAGGTAAAAAACTCCTAAAGACCTTCTTTAATATTAGACCAATACTCTTATCAAATCAAAGGCTGCTCATTTTTTTACTTAAATAAAGGGAGATTCAAATTTAGATCCAAATCTTCAATGATGCGATTTCACCCTCCTGACCATCTCCAACAGAAAATCAAATCTTTACTCAAAATTTGAGTTAAAAAAAAAGGGTAAAATGTTTGATTTGCTTAAATTTAAAAGAAGGTAAAACCAAATTTCAATGACGACAAACTTAAATTTTAAAGAGGCTGAAATATAACTATTGAATCTTTAAAGTTGGGTGAAATCTCACTATTAAATATTTGAGTATGAATTTGAGTTTTCTTTAATTTGAATTTAAATATGAGTATCTCTTGATTTGATATGAATATGAGTCTAGTATTGAAAAATGTTTTCCTTAGTTTTTTTTTTTAAACCAAATTTTAAATTTGAATTTAAAAAATGGGTAAGGATTGGAAATGCTCTTAAAGATCCAATGATCATATTTTATCATCATTCAAATTTAAGTTTGTCATCATTTAAATTTGAGTTTCTTCATTTGAGAGGTCTAGACTAAATCAATTTTTTTTTACCATTTTTTACTGAAATTTGGATAGGAGTTTGTGTTTCAATTAGAGATGGTCTTAATGAACAGTTAACTCAGTAACTGTTTGTGCTTTATTAAAAAATATTGAGTGTGTGAAATGTAGACTTTTAAACCACAAGGGTCATTTGGTTACAATATTAATGGGTGGATTGCAAAGCATAACATATTAAGGCTTTCTAATCCAACCTTATACAATATTTGGTTGCAAAAAATACTTTGTATCATATATAATTTTATTTCAAATTTTTATCCGAATATTACACATCTTATCCAAATAATATATTGTATTCGTACTATTAAGCCGATTATAATATTAGAGGTGATATTGTAGTTCAATTCAAGTATATTAAGTTGTAAATTTACTATTTTATCCAATAGATAAACAAAAACATTAATCTATCTATACTACAAACAAATATACCTTAGTGTGAAAATTTTTGTATTCACTATTTTGTCCTTATAAAAAATTATAATGACTAACATATCATATTGTATTTAAATATTTAAATTACCATTATATCCCTATGTATTAAATAACAAACTGATTTCTAACAAATTATATAAATCTCTCTATCTGGACAAATTTTTTGAATGGTCATATTATGTTTAGTGTTGTAAGTATCTATTTTTCTGTTAAAATATTTTGTATTTATCAGTTTTTTCCATTTCCATCTATTCCGCATGTATGTCTATATTTTGGTATCAGAGCCATTTGACGGCCTGGTGTATTATCTCTGAAATTTCATTTGAGTCATCTAATTCACTTTGAAATCTTTATCTGTTTCATCTTTCAAATTCATTTGTAAGTAGATCTTACCCTATCACCCAACCTTAATCCAGACACTCAAGAGCACGTAAGCCTTTTCTTGTCCCAAGTGTAAGTCCTAGAGTTGGCAGAAAGGGATCTTAGGCGAGAAGTTGAGAGAATTTGGAGCCAGATTAGGGGGTATGTATAGTGTGGTCATACTTACATATAAATTTAAAATTTGATAACAATTCAGATTTTAAAATGAGTAGATTATTCAGATCTAATTCTAGAGCAAGTACATCTAGATTTTCAGATTATTCTATGCCACATAGAGTAAATGAGGAAGAATTAGAAATAGAAGAAGCTAAAACAGACTGAAAAAAATGGAATATTCCTCCAGTTAAAGAAAAAAATATTTATAGCACAACTTGGGTTCAAAAAACCTTTAGTGAAGAACATCAAGTTAAAACTGTTGAACAAGTTCATCCTC